AGCTTTTGTTAAACTTTGTTGGTTGCAATGAAAACGGTTACAATCTGCAAATTTTTGCCTCGAAAATTCAAGCTATTTTGCTCCACTAGGATTAAATTCTCATTCGATGAATCCTATGATACATGTTTAACTTGCATTTTAATGTGAAAGCTCAACTGACGATAAGCGAGAATGGGTCTAGCGCGACATCATGCTCTTCCCCAAATACTATTACGTTTGCCACTGTTGCGCTTAATATGTCTTAAATTTCAGATCTTTTTCCACCGTGCAACACCAAGTTATGCATAACACTTGCAGCTGGTTTTTCGAAAACACATGACGATCTCTCGATCGCTAGAGTACTTCAGGAGTTGAGAACTACACAGATTAAAAGAAGAGTCGATCGTTCTAACCGTAAGTTATAGAGTAGTTTTTCAACTTCAAATATGCATAGAATGAGGATTTTCAAAAACTTGAGAACGAGACGTAAACATTTGTAATTTTCAATGTTTAGCCCAAGCTCAGCAGCTACAAATATAAACGATATACCGATCAACAAAATGATGTTGGCCTGGACGAGATTTCGAGCTTCGTTTTCAAAATACGAGCTATAAAGCAGGCAAAGACCATCTTGGTAGAATATGGGAGCTTACAAATCGTAATCAACGATTCGTGGACTATAATGGCTCTTATTCAAACTAATGAGTTGAGGTGTGTTTCTTTAATGTTGGAAGCTGCCTTTACTTCGCATGAAGTGCATTGTATTCAATGCTTCCCTGAAATTTATATCTTAATATGAGCTACGTAGAATCTAAGGAAAAAACGAAGTAAGCCTAACTGTGAATGATTCTGACTAAACGTTATGTCAACAAGCTCTTATCACCTTAACTGCGATAAAATCCGTTTATTTTTTCTTGACCAATGGGAAGTTTACTTCGAAGGTCTGAAGTCGCTCAATTCTTACGCAATCGTACCAACGATAACTCAGGTAAATGGTTTCAAGACGAACAGTATACAGAGTGCAGAACAGCTACCAGCGGTTTTTTAGCTTAGTTTCGAGCAGAACAACTCGCTTCCATTGAGTACATGTATTGCAACGCTGCAATAGTAGTCACAGGAGAGTTAGCTTAAGTGAGAACTGGCAGTAGACAGTGACGTTACGATTCTCAACGCCAACACTAGCATTTTGGACTTCTGTAAAATATCTGCCTGGATGACAAATTCAAATTCCCTGAGATGGTACAGCAGAAAAAATGGTTGCTGAATAATTTCATATATTCTTAATGATATCTTAAGATATCTTCGATGGCCCATGAAGATATGGAATACAGGAATTGCTCTGTTTGGACGCTAAAGAAGGTCACCCTAATTTCATCGTTACGAAGATCCCGGTAGGCGTTACGGATTCTTTATTCAGCTCAAGAGTCTCCAAGGACATCCTATTAGTAAATTTCAAAACTCTTCCTAAAATTTCACGGAAATGTTTAGCTAATGTTCGTTAACGCGAATCTCAGAATTGTTGTTAATAAAGATGCATTTTCACAAGCTAATCGACTAACTTGCAAGTCCTCTGCCCATGTTCGTTCCTTAGACTGAGGAAACTCTCGCGTTTATATGAAAACAAAAAATTCTTGAAAACTGCAGATTGGTCTCGATGCAGTCAATCTCGATGTGTCCAAATTCCGACCAATGTTTCTGGTAAAAAGAATCAGCATGAAAAGCCCTAATCATTACGATAAAACTAGATACCCTACCCTCTTAGCCCCTTAGTGGCTTTATTCTACTGTGCGAACTCTTACACGAAATTGTTTAGGTGTTATCAAGGGATCAATCGCATTTGGAAGTTCCAATGACGACCTAATGAGAGACAAATTCTTTGTATAATTTCTTCAAGTCCACGTAGAGAGACGCCTTCCACATTATCATCGTTTCACGCTGGCTTTCAAACGTTGCGGAAGAAGAACGAAGAATGTCAAGTCAGCATAGGTTCACATGTCTTCTAATCTAATATATCCGGTGAATTCCACCAAGTCCTCTTCTCCACTGACTAGCAGTTGCTCTTCAGCACCATAAACGGCACATAAATGGATGGTGTTTCTTCAATGATATCTACCATAGTTGGTCTTCTCTTAGAAGACAAGATTTTCTATGAAAAACTTCATAAGCCACATTCGTAGGTAGCAATGATGGTCACTATAGTCAAAAATGGTAGCAAGAGAGGATCCTGTGTGAGCTGCATTTTAGTAATCACTGCATCCAGTGGAGCTGTATTCTGGACTCTTCAGGAGTAGGGACAGTGAGGTACTTTATTTTAACTACATTTCTCTTGAGCGCGAGCATTTTACCTCGCTTATTCGTGGGGTCTGTGTATACTAATGAGGGATTTCGGTTTGTACACATGCCCTCAAACACGCATACATAAATAGTTCCCCTTTTTTCACATTTCACATGACCCGCAGTAACATCTACTCTGAGAACTCCAGCAGTTCTTGCATTCGATTCGTTTGGTCGCATGAAACATCCACAATTGTGATGGCTAATGGCAAAAGATCAATAGAACTAGCTGAGAGACAGGCAAAACGAAGGACCCGGATGGTGTGGTGGTGAAGTGCGCCACACCCCGGAAAGGACAATAGCGCGCGTTCGTTCCCAACCACATACACCTGCGGTCCGGAGTTTTGCAAATATCTCAGCATTATATACGAGTGATAATCCATAATTGTCTTCGAACACTTCGCGTTTGTCCGGCTTCTGCTTTAGGATTTGCTCTTTTTCACGAATGCCGTAGAATATTGGTGGAGTCGATTGCCAGGCTTAGGTATTCCACCGTGGATCGGAGGAATGCGCGGGAGATGGGGTCGAACCTAAGCAATTGCTTCCTGATCGACAGCATCGCTAACCTCTGTGCTACTTGCCAAGTATTTTCACATGAATAAGAACTGTACAAATTGTTTCAGTGCTGCACAGCCAAATGCGTATCCTTTGAATTTATCAAAGCCCCAGTGAAAGTTCGTTGTCGCTCTAGCCCACAATTAAATCTCCTGTTTCAAAATTCTTAAATAACTGCTGAGATATTTGTAAAACTCCGGACCGCAGGTGTATGCGGTGAGAAACGAACGCGCTACTACCCTTTGCAGGGTCTAATACGTTCCCCATTACACGAGCCGGATCTTTCGCTTCGCCTGCTTCTCAGCTAGTTTTTTAACGACCAGTGCCATCGCAATCACCCGAAAACGAGATTGATCTGGGGAGCAAGGTTAACTTTTTATTTGCTGGCTCTGCAATTTTTTATGCTATAGTATTGTGTGAAATACAACCACCAAAAGTAGCCCAGAGACTGGCGAAACGAAGGACCCGCATGGTATGGTAGTGAACGCGTCAGCCCCGGGAAGGGTAATAACGCGTTCGTTCCCCACCACAGACACCTGCGGCCCGAAATTTTGCGAATATGTTATGTTTTTTTTTCTTTTTGAGAAATCTTTTATCCAAGGAGATATCGTATACCGGTTATTGGCGAGCAGGTGTCTTCCTTGAACAAATAAACCACTCATGACCCTCACCACAACCGTCTCAGTCACATTTGCTTTTTTTAGTCGTCTTTACCATCATTACAATGTCAGTTGTGTAACCACTTGTTTGCACAATTTTAACAATTTCGATTCGTTTTTATGCCTTTGTGTTGTGTGTGTTTTCGACATGCTTCTTCGAATGGGCACGAGAGTATCGTCAAAGAATACCTCTTATACACTCCCAAGTACACTCCTTGTGATTCTTAACAAGATCAAGGGAGGATCTCGAACAACTGGTCTCGTCCATCAGCATCAAAAAATAAAGGTGGGAAAGCGTCCTTTAAATCTGTGCCTCGTCATTTCTCCTCACTTAAGTGCATAACAGCATAGGGCATGGTCTGCAATAATCTGTCTAGGTAGGGCAATTTTGCTTTTCCTCTCTAAAGCCGAAGGCCTATAAGGCCTAGCGATGTTTGCTTAACAGTTGTGGGTTCCCATGACTCAACTTTTTCCTGTAATTGTAACACTTCAAATTGACTGTCACTGAAAATTCAACGGTTAGGAAGCGCTACATTGGTTGAGCCATCATCATCAACTGCCCTATCGTCACCATCTTTGTTCAATCCTACTCTTTACCTTTTTAAACACTTATTCTATATCCCTTTTGCTCAGTGTCATTACCTTCGTCCTCACCCTCTGATACATTCCACAAATTCCTTAATAGGAATCACAAGAGATTTCATTGGTTCATTTTTCATGAGCACAGAGTCTAAAAGAATCTCACTTTGTTCGCCATCGACATGGGTCCAGCTTATACATCTCAGCTTTTAACCTACTGTTGATTGGTCATTCATTCTCGATCGCTATCGCGAATCATAGCTGTCATATGGCATCGCAGAATATTAAAAAAAACTTTTAAAAAAGGGAAGAACTAAGTGGCTAAAAATGCATTGCACACTCTTAAAACCTTATCAAAGGCGATAGCAATATGACTGGATGATGAACGAGGTTTGTTCTTTCATTCAAAAATGTATCTCTCAAGTTAGATATATCCCAAAACATGGAAGAATACGGAGAAACACGTATAGAATATGAAGATCCACAAAAATGACCATAAAAAATTCGTAGGAAAAACGGATTATAGAGCAAAAACTTGGAAAGTCTCGAGAACAGGTGTGGAAGAGTGGACCACATGCATCGAGCTTATTGCGCGTTGTGCTGAATTAATTTAGTGTCATCTTCTGTGGTCTAGGCGTAGTCGCATACATACTAGCCATACTGAGCATCACTCGTCTGAAATTACTTCCTACTAGTTTCGAAGTTGGAGAATTAATTTAGTTTTATCATTTTTCGTTCGGGAGAGAAACAATGTCAGTGAAATAATCGATTTTCTAGCACTTAAATGAAACTGTCCGCATTCATGATGCATAATTCCACGACCATAATCCCTTGTGTCCGTAGCCGAATTGGAATGTGAGTATGGTCACAGTAGATAGCGTTCACAGAACACACCATCTGATTACACAGCTGGTTCACACGGTAAATGAAAACAGCCATGTAGTCGGATATCGAATGGGATATGTAAAAGGAAACTTATGTGCCTCTATTTTTCAATCAATTGGCATTCATATCGCACATAACATAAGTTTGCGTTTCAATTCTGATGCCCTACTCAACGACGATCATCGTTCGACGATCAGAGATGAAGCATCAAATGCGACGAGAGAAGAAATGTGACGTGGACTTTCGACTCGGATCGCCGGCTCTGATGAAGACGAAGACGTCAAAAAGTTAGCAGAATAAAAATTGTTTACCAATCTCATGTAAGCTTACCAAAGAAAGAATACATTTGAAGAGCGTGCCAACCGGTCCCTCGATCAGGATTCTCAGATCTTTGACGAAAGTAAAATGTCATACTGTTGAAATGAGTGTTGTTCCACAAAAAAGACGAGCACGCTCAAGGAGGCTTATTAAATAAGCCTAATTGATAAATGATTTCTGCATTTTCGGTTTTTATTCTGCGAAAACATAGAAGAGTAAAGAAAGAGTGGAAAATCATCAGTGCTCTCTTCTGTTTTATGACAGACACAATTTAAGAGTCTGAAGACTATTCACTAGACTAGGATATTCATAGAAAGATACTCAGTCGATCGTCTTCACATATGGGGAATTTTACACATGCAGCTATTTACTGCCTTAGAAAGAGAATGAGTTTTGTTCGAAAAAAAATCACTTTTCTTTCCAACCCATTCCTGCTCACTTCATTTTAAACAACTAAATTATGCCTCCTTTAAATGCAGTTGGCAAAAATACTGAAAGAATAAAAAGAAGATTTTAAGAGGAGTTTGTCCCAGGATTTGTTCAATGAGTCGGTAATAACAACTCCATGGCAACGACCATGAACGAATGGCTAACGTTTTTCACTAGTTTTTATGATGATCGCCTGGGAACAATTCCAACGAATAACGGTTCTTTAAAACAAAAGCAAAATGAGAGCCAGACGTTCAAAGGAGTGTCAGTGAATAGCTGGACGCAAATTATGCCCAGCATTCTGTAGTCTCGGAAGCGTATCCCTTCAGAACTGAAAGTTACTGCTATTCACTTTTTGTGAGATCCTTGGTGTGATGACGAATTGGAAGTGCAGCGGTGTGTTCGCCACCACCCCACGAATGAATACAACAGATGTCGAGAACATTTGAGGAAGAAAACACTCATTACTCGTGCACACATCCTTCCACACATGTAAAACGTCTTTCGAACAGAACACACTTGACTCTTGACTCCTACCGAACATTATTTACATCATTTAAAAAGATTTTATATAAAGCGAACAGATTTAAGAAAATGAGGACGTCAGTAAAAAACCACCAGCAAAGTCACACGTTCTCAACCAAACACTGGAACATCTTGTGAGTAGGGTTCTACTTTCCCCAGTGTCTATTAGTTTCGTGAACACTAAACTTTCCGTAATAAATGATTTAGCCAGGTGAATAGGACAACCACCAACGGTCTGCAAAATATCGGGGTATCGATGGATGATGGTAACAGAAGGACGGTAACAGGCCATCAATTTATCACTTTCCTTCCACTTCGTTTCGGCAGCTACGAATTATCGAATGGATTATTTCGTTCAAGCAAAGACAATAGCATTACGTGACATTATACTTCCACGTGATTTCTGTGCGGTTGGTCTCTACGTGACATACTTAGTGGAAACCTCATAGGAAGCGGCTCTGAGGAAGACGAAATCCGCCGAAACGTCAGCTTAATCGTGAACAAAGAATAATAACACCTCGCGTTTGCTCAATAAAAATACGAAGAAAATCACTTGATCAATGCCGAGGTTAATAGAAAGTCGGTCGCGGCAAAGACAATAGCCTTGTCCAATCTGATTCCTTTCTTTTTTTCTGTCTCGTTTGGTACTCGTCAGATTATCAAAAAAGAGTCTTGACGATCTAAACACACTCATAGAGAAGTGGTTTTTCAGTACAGGCCACTTACGCCGCCTTTAATGACGGAACAATCGAGGAGAGATGAGGCGTACGAGTTAATGTGAGCAGTAGGTGGGCAAGTGACAAGTCGTCGACGTGGGACGGGGAAAAACACCGACGAATTGATGCCGCCGAGTCAAAACACTGCACAGCGGGACTGGCCGGAATGAGAACTTCGAACGAAGACAAGGAACAGTCTGGAATTCGGATGTAATTAGATGAATATAAATGGTTTTGAAACAGTGAGAAAGACGTTTGCCGCTTTAGTTCTAACTGTGCTTCACTGAACAAGCCAGTTTAGAGAATATGAAAAACTAACAGTGCCAGGATATAGCCTACGTATCAAATTGTTTTGGCATATACTTTCAACGCATACGATAGACAAATTCCGTTGCGAAAGATATTTCCCTCTGAGAATAGAGAAGTGAGAAACGACTATTGCAATAGATAGGGGAGAGCGAGAGCAAATGAAGGACGAAACCTAGTGAAAGTAGACACCATTCGGAAGCACTTGGGCCAAATCCAGGTTGTCCTCGCCCACAGATCCGTGCATGAATGCCGTCGGTGCGCTGAATAGCCAGCGGATCCCTCCGCCAACTGTTCAACAACAACACGCCGCCGGTGCTCGACAGCCTCCATGCCTCCGCGATCATTTTGACGAATTCATTACAGAAATGCCACGTCGCCTCCCAACAGTTTACCGCCTCATCGTGGCTAGGAGGTGTTCCTGGGTGTCGGACTGCGATGTACAGCAGGGGGATTCGTCCCTTCGGCAGGGTCCACCAAGCTAAGGAGTCCGGCGTTTCCAACAGGAAGTCTAGCTAAGAGTAAACCAATACCACGACCCACCACCGTCTTTGTATTAAAGTCGCATCGTGGCAAATCTCGCTCTGATACACAAGGGCTGAAACTGCCCGTCGTGGTGACGACCTGGGGTAGGCTTTGGCCAGGCTGACCTCAGGATTCCAGGGAAGCAAAATGGCTTAACTAGCAAATCTCCGAAAAATGGTGATTACGCCGAAGCCCGCACAACTAGTGATGACGGCTAAGTAACAAGTAAGTAATGCCACGTCGTAGAGGATTTCAGTGAGAGTTCTTAGTCCCGAGAATTCCAACCTACATTCATTTATGTAAAAATCTTAAGATTGAAGAGTTATAGATCTTAGAAACGTCCGTTTCCTACCAGTTGGTATTCCATTATTTCTAAAAATGAAAGATTCATGTAAAAGAAGAATGACACTTATTCAACGGTGCACAACATTCCATTTGAAAGCGGCTTTATCGTAGAAAAAAGAAACGTTCGTTTCAAACCACGTAAAAGAATGCAGTTGAAAAAAAGTGTTGCAGTTGTGTGTGGTCACAACCATTTGGAATAAGCCAGGAAGTAGGACCGGAAACAGATTGAATGGACCAACTGAGGAGCACAAGGAGGGAGAGAGAGTGGCTGATCGCGTCTAGTTTTCAGTGGTCGGCTCGAAACTGGTTCTATTTTTCGCAGCAGAAATCGATTACACCGAATTTCGTTTTGTGTTCCATTGGTTGAACTATGATTATCCAAGGTTGGTAATGGTGAATAACTGCAGAATCATGGATTCCTGTTCAATAATTTGCTTGTGAATGCCTACCAACGGATGAGTGCAGCGCAATTGTTAGACGTGCCCTGTAATGCACACAGTGTCGCCGGTTAGATCTCGCGCCCTGGGCTCACCGAGCCTTCCAGGATCAGTACGAGACTTGCTTGGAAGGATAGTAGCACTGAGGTGATACATCGGTAACTAACAAGTTATTGTATGAGTCATATATCGATTCAGTCACCTCTGTGATGCTGTGAGTGGAGTCTAAAGCATGGTGTACCCCACTACTCAGAGATTGATGACCTCCGTAACCCCTATCTTAATAATGTTACGCTATTCAACTCAATGCATTCATTATTCTATACTCAAACAAAATAGTGTCTGGAGAACAAGGAAAAGTAGGAAGAAGATTGAAAGTAGGTCTAAAGAATGCCCGTTTACTTAAAAATGATGGTCTGGTAAATAAGGAAAAATACTACGATGCAGATGTGCTGGCCAGTGGATTAGGGAGTTGGTCGGATATGTCTTTTGTCCGCCAACTCTACGTGGAATGCTCGACATTGTATGAATTCGCCACGCGGGACTTTTTTCGTAACTGCCGTGGACAACCTCGAGCTTTGGTTATAACAGTTTATAGCAATAACAACAGTGCAACAATAATATGAAATACGTGACGATGTGTGGTTAACTGGATATATACGAGCGAGATTGAGATGAGAACAAGTGAAGCAACTGAAGGAAACTAGGTGGTCACTAGAGCTGGAGCACTGAGGAACCGAGGGACTGGATGAAGAGCGAACGAACGCTGCGAACACTTGAAGACGAATGCCCATAGGCTGGCTGTATTACTTCTGTAGTGGGTGGAGCTTTGCCAGAGAGAACTAAAGACGGTGCTGACCCAGGGCATGACACGGTACCTGGGGAGAAGTACATCAAATGAGACGGTATGCCAGAGGCTTTTATCGAAACTACGTGTCGAAGCGGTATTAAAACTTATACATTATGAATGGATAGATTTAAGATAGGTATAAGTAAATACTTAATATAGGACACATGTGATATTGTAGAAAATAGGAATTATTTAAGAAATAGTTACTATAGCAGAAATACCTGGTACTGATTGTATTCGTTCTAGAAGAAAATCGATAAGATGTTTAATGAATGTTGTTAGGACTTGAGTCAACAATTTATGATCAACAAAAACGATTGCGTTTGATTAATGTGATCTGAGAATGTTCACGTTCATCTCAAACACGAGAAGAAGTGGGAGTGAGAAGTAGTGAAGCAGTGGGCTTTTTTTCTCGTTAAAGAACCTGTTCACCGTTGGATTGACTAGTCCGATGACAGCGAGGTTCTGCAACTTTGCCAACAGAAAACGAACACTAGGAAAAGGAAGGAGAACAGCAAATAGCCGATTTGAATTCGGACATGATAACGTTGACCGATCTGGTGCAATGGGCGACGACGACAATGATGGACGAAGAATTCACTA